AGAAATTTGATAAAAATGTTTATTGTTCCAAACTCTGCCAGGACTGAAGCCTAGTGTGTTTTCCAGAGTCACATAAAAAGCTTGTGAAATTGTGAAATGTTAACAATTGTAAAAAAAATTCATTTAGAATCAGGACAGCAACCATATTCAAAGCTAAGCATAGTAAAGGAGCTGTAATTCTGCTGACCTGTTTTGCTTCCAAAAGCATTGGGATTTTTGCATTTAGCATTTTTTCTTGCATTATGCGATTCATTCTTTAAAATTCTGATGAGTAGTGAATAAAGCATAAGGACATGCCAGCACATAAATGGTTGACGAGTTACAAAGCCAATCCTCTGCAGTGACAACCTCTTTACCCAAACCTAAAACCTATGGAAAGTTGACCAGGGCTCCTTATACACAAAGCCATAGATAAAGAATGCAGCACGTAACTACAATGGCTGTTAAAGGAATGGAGGACACTGTGGTCTACACTTTAAGAATCCACCACTAACGTTGCTGCTGCACTTCCTCTTTTTCTTAAGTTTCTATTAATATGAGGGCTTACAGAAATATGTATATTCGATTTTCTTTGTTATTCTTATATTACCAGTATGATATATGTATATTAAAATGCTCACCTGCAGCTCAAGTACTGAGAGATATATTAACTGGTTGTAAAAACCAACTGCTGCATCTCCATCATTCTAAAACAAGCTGCAGCTTTACTTGAAATATGAAACCATGGCCGTTTGCTTTAGGGTGTCTTTTTATTATTGTTGTCGATGTTGTTGGAAATAACGAGTAGGCCCGCCACTCAGCTCAGCTTCTTTTTTCCACAGTTTGGTTTGATCAACAAGTTGCAGCTGTTGGAGAGCTGCATGGTTGACTGTCCTGTCAGCTGCATCCTCAGCGAATGGTCACCGTGGGCGGATTGCTCGCACACCTGTGGGACTCAAGGTAAACATTTATAACAGTCAAACTTAAACTCTGTCAAAACAACAGCAACGGCAACCTTGAGTACAGTCACCGTGAACATAATTAATTGGCATCAATAATTTATCTAATAAGGCATTCACCAATATGCTCACCTTTGCAATATGTTTAATGCATATTTAATAAGAAAGGGTTAATTTCAGCTAAATGATGTGCAGTTCACCCGTGCGGATGCCATAAGCTATATGGCATGCTTTAAGATGAAGTCAGTAATCATGAACCTGGCATGTCAGTAATCACTTTGAGAAAGACATCCTGACCTCATGCAATATACAAAAGTAATGATTTAACCCGGATCTATATATTGTTTCTTTGGCTTCCCAAAGTCAGTCTCCAAAAGAGAAAGCTTGTTAGCCTGCTAATTAGAAAGACTCAGCACTGTCTCCTAAGTTCATTAATTTTAATTTGTAGCTGGCTGTCTGTCAGCTCAAACTTAACCCCTCACTCCATTCAGCTCACACTTGCAGCAGCTCTTGGCTGGGGATTTAAACTGGAGGTTTTCTCCCTCACTGTGTCTCCCAAGGCTCTGCCACAGAGACTTTTTCTGCCACTCGGTTCCTCCTAACAGAAAGACAAACACATCTTTGAGCCTCAATGGGGGATTTGTGTTGTATCTGTTTCAACCATTGCAAAGATTATGTTATGTTTTGTCCAGACACCATGGGAGTGCTAAATGTGCTTGGTTTGATTTTTTTTTGTTTTGTTTTTTGACAGAACTGAATTGCTTTTTACTGTGTGTGCCTGGTGCTTGACAACAATTACAAAAAAGAAACAAAAAAAACATAAAAAGACACAAATTTAGCTGCTGTCTTGTGAATTGTCAATTTAGGTAATGCCTTTACTGAGCCTCCTAGGATTCTGCAGACTAAGGAAGTAAGGTACAGAAATAGTCCAGGAATGATACGGATACTCGCCGTGCAATAGACTGGGGACCTGTCCAGGGTGTACCCCGCCTCTCTCCGGTAGACAGCTGGAAATAGGCACCAGCATCCTTCGAGACCCCAGTAGGGATAAGCGTGACAGAAAATGGATGGATGGATGATAGCTTATAGCAATATGCTCTGGAATTTCAATCCAGCAATATTGTTTGATAAAGTTCTACTTAGTTCTACTAAAACTAGAACCTATGAGCCTGCCAAACACAACAATAATACAAAATTTCTATTTGACTTTAAAATCTGTAAATTGTAATTATTGTAAAAATAAATATTTTTTTCTATTTACCATTGGCAGAAATAATTTCAGAGGAAACAAATCAGATATTAAAAGAAATGAAATGTAGGTGAGTAAGGACAGATGCACCTATTAATGCCTTTTAACACTAATCACTTGCACAGAGTTGAGGAAATATGTATAAATGTATAAGGAAAATAATCTCGTCTATGCTTATGAAACTTTTTGAATGATTTTATATTGTTAAAAAAATTTTTTGTTAAACCATGTTGTTAAAAAAACATTAGTACAGATTGACCTTGATTTACAAAAGGATTGAAAAAAAAACTAGTATAAGAGGAAAAATACACTATAAAGAGAAGTTATTAGTTTAAAAAATAAAAATGCAGCAGAAAAAACATAGAAATAATATAAGCAGCATTATAAGTTTATGTAATATGTAATATACAAATAATAAGAAGATATAAAAAGAAGAATTATTGCTTTCAATGGGGGTCTGCAGAATTCTCCTTGTTATGGGGGGTCTTCATTATGTGGGTATTGGCTCTTATGTTAGATAGTATGTTGCACTGTGGAGCAGGAGGCAGGCTTAAATAAGCCTATGCTTCTTCCTGCTCTGTTTTGGAAATGCCAAACTCTTTCTTAAAACTTTTTTATAATAAATCAACATGAAATAGCAAATGTGTGAAGTTTTGATTAAAAAGTGACTCTTGTCTCACTTTACTCTGATATCCCTAAATACAATTAACTGCAACCCACTGCTTTTGAAAGTCATTAAAGCTCAAGGCCAAAATTTTTGGAGTGGCAGAATAAGCTTATTAAACAATATTCGAAACTCTGAACATGGACCACTGCTCAGCCCATCATCATATTGACATACTGTGTGTGAATGGGTAAATAACAAAGCTGCCATGGCTAGGCCATCCAGCTGATTTGACACAGTGGGCAAGTAGAGAGCATTGATCAGATGAGCATCCAAGATGCCTGTTTACTCTGAGGGAGCTGCAGAGTCCACAACTTAGATGGGAGAATCTGGCAGCAGGACAATTATTAGTTGTACAAAACAAATCTGAGCTTCTGAAAGAGCAGCCTTAGGAAAGCTGCTGTTAACAGAAATCCATATAATGTTATGTTTACAATTTGCCACAAATCACAATGGAATAAAGGGCTTTTCTCAAATGGCAAAATAACAGCAGGTTTTAGACCTATTCTCTGCTTGGCAGGAAACTGGTACGATAAAAATCATCATCAACATGCCATTCCCATCACAGTAGACATGCTGTTCAGAGTTGATGGAAAGTTGGATGGAGCTCAATACAGGGTAACCCTGAGCAGAAATTTGTTAGAGGCTCCAAAGGACTTGAGATTGGCATGTATGTTTACCAATGAGATGGCCTTACAGCGCCTGAGCTACAAAAAGATTCTTTAGATATTTGTTTAAATGACCCATTCAAAGTTCAGATCTAAATCCAACTCAATTGCCTTTTTTTTTATAAATAAAAAAAAAAAAACTTTTACCAATTCAACCGGATTGATGGACTGATCCAAAACTATTTAACATAGAATAATGGGCAAAAAAATAAATAAAAAAATGCCTTCGAATGTGCAAAGCTAGTGATATATACTAGGAAAAAACTGCAGCTATTGTTGCAGTAAAAAGGTGGTTCTACAAAGCATTGAACCATGGAGACCAAATACAAATTCACACGAACATCAGTTTTATATATATCATGTAGTTTTATTTGTTAAACATTTTTAAAAGCCATATTTAAGTTTCCTTTATAATTATGTGCTACTTTGTGTTCTATTTGTGGTCATTCACATGACATATTATGGAATATATAGAAGGAAAGTGTTGTAAAGTGACACAAAGGAAAAAAGCAAGATGCTGTATTGGGATAGAAGCTAGCCCAATATAGAAAAACTCCTTCATGCTTTAAGCACTGTATTTCAGTTGGACTTTATCTTAAGCCCGTTACGACTATTTGACTTGATGCTTGACGCAGTTTTCTAACTGTAACTTTCAACTCACATTTACAGTTGGTACCTGAAATACAATTATTGTTGTGGATGGGTTTCTTTTCTAAAAACATTTACCTCTCAGCACAGAATAAATTGTCTTTTTTCTGTATGTGGCGCTGTACCTACAACACACCTCTCTTTGGCTGGTTGAAAATACAATTCCTTTCACACATTATTAACGGCTCACTTGAACAAGGCACTTTGGTAGAGAACCTCTGGTTTTCAGGATTAAGTGGCAAAATGAATCATGTGTTTCACACTTGTGCTAATTTATCTTTGCCTAGAGAAAAACATTTCTTAGAAAAATGAGAAGGTAAAGCGACTTTTCATAACTAAAAAAAAACGATTATCCAATTTTATTTTTTTCTTACTTAATTGAGTCATGCGTATTTTTTCCTCTAATGCATTTTTGATTTCTCCCCACTTTTTACATGCAGCTGAGTTTATGTTCTCTATTAATGCACACTTGTTTCCAGCTGATGCAGTTTGTCACTATAACAGTAGTACCTTAAAATGCTTTTTTAAATTTTACAGATGCAGCAAATGCAGCAAAAGACAATGTTTCATTTTAAAACTAGGTTGCAGCTTGCAGATGTTCTCTGGATCTGTTTAACTGTTCATCTAAATGGTGTGTTGGCCCTGTCGTTATGTAGGTCACTCTGTACGTACCCGGAGAATCCTTCAGGAAGCTCATGAGGAAGGTCGTCCCTGTCCCAACCAGCTTACTCAGACAAAACCTTGTTCCATAAAGCCTTGCTATATGTGGCTGTTGAATGACTGGTCTGCATGCACTATTGAGGTAAGGCTTACAATACCTTGATATTAAACATGTACATATCTCTAATTCCCTTCCAATTTTGTTGAAGCCATATATATATATATATATACAGCAATTAAATTATGCTTCAGTATTAATACTGTTTAGGTGGATTAAGTCCAAAATTTCATGCCAATTGGAGGAAGTTATCCATCAAAGAACAGCTTATTGCATTAAGGCATTAACTGTGCAGCAACACCTTATCCTAAGCAAGTAGTGATAGTAAAGAGAAACAATTTAGTTTTTAACAGAAAGAAACATTCTGTAAAACCAGGCTCAGTATGAGGGGCCCTTTGCTATGACTTGCAAAAACTTGAACTGGATGGCTTTCTATGATATTGGTTCCTTTACATCATCTTCAAGATAATATAAAACATACTTATTAAGCAGATTATTTGCTTAATGTACAAGAATTCTACTCATTTAATTAAACATTAGCATGATAATAACACAAACAATACAGTATTAATGTTGTATTCATTCTGATGTCTGAAGCAAAAGCTCTGCCACTGATTTCCTCCAGGAACAAAATCACAAATGCACTAAAGCAGGAGAACTTTTGAATGGAAAATAAAGCTGAGTCTATAAAGTTTACTGTCGCAACAGATGAAACTGTCCCCATGTTAAAAGAATATATATTCTGCTCTATCTTAATAAAAAGAAAAATAAACTATTTGCATAATTTATTTATGTTGATCAATTAAGATTTTTCCTTGTTACTTACTCATGACTTTAACTGAAAAATAGAATCCCAGTAAAGTAAACTTACTTCAAGTAGATTAACCAAAACAAAATTGTTCAATAATTACAATTTTTTTCAATGAAATAAATGAAATTGTGAAGTAAACCAAGTTGATTTTATTATGTGAACCAAATGAGCAACAATCTTTATACTAATTACTTATTTTACATATGTTATAAATTAAGTTAGGGCATATAACCAGCTTGGTTGTGTATTGCAGTTTAAAACTAAAATTTGTATAAATCATTCAATATTTTTAGAATATTGTTTTTAAGAGATTGATTCCCCATCCAGTTGGTGCTTGGAAATGCTGAGGGCTTATGGGTTTTATAGTATTTCATGTTTTAAAAAATCAAATAAAGTAATGGTAATAAGATTTTTTTGTTGTTGTGATGATGATGATCTTTAAAATAAAAAGCTGTACGTACTTAAACTATTCATGTTTTGCAAATAAAAATGAGAATGTCTGGTATCATTAAAATAATATTTGATTTCAATGCTAGAAAAAGTTTTGTAGCAATACTAACTAAGTATGAAAAACCACAAAATGCTCTAAAATCAGGAGACATTCAACTTTTAATAGTCTTATACTGGAGTTATTTAAAGCCTTTGCATAGCGTAGCACTTAACTAATGTCTGTTCGTGATCTGTCTGATTTCTCTGTGAATTTCAGTCCAGTATGGTAAAAGACTCTTCTCCTTTAGTCTTTCTTTTTTGCAAAATCCTACATATAATCTTTTTTCTCCAGTGTTTATATGGCTCTTTTCTCTGTAAGTGCCTTTATAACTAGTAAAGCATATATATTCATAAAGCCTAAATATATTTTTTAATCTTTAACAGTTTAGTTTTTTCAAAATTCCTTTTAGAAAAACCTCAGAATATATTAACCATTTATATACACTGTGTAAAATTACCCCCTTAAAACCAAATTTGTAGAAACAAAGTAAATCATCTATCAGTGTCATATTTACACCAGTTTCCCCGAATAGTGAATAATCCTGTCCTCACTTCATTGTCTGCAAAATCCTTCTCCGTCAAGCAGGGACTGTTACTTTTCCTTTCTAACAATCCCTCTGTAGATCTCTCTCTAAAAGTTTCTGTGGACTTGCAGACCTCTGTTTGACCTCCACGGCTCTTTTTCCGTTAGTTGAATACATTATAAACTGAACGGAGGATACAGCAACTTGAAAATGCTTTGCTATCTCCTTTGAGCCTTTGCCTGCTTTGTGGATACAAATTAATTTTGTTCTATGCTACAAAGCTGCTTACAAGAGGTCTAAGCTGGTGACCTCTTGTAAGATTTAGAGAATT